AGGGAGCCCGATGTGGGACTCGATCCCAGGACCCTGGGATCATGACCTGAGCCGAAGGCAGTCGCTCAACCGACTGAGCCACCCAGGCGCCCACTCCCTTTTCTTTTTTAAAAAAGATTTTATTTATTTATTATTTATTTAGAGAGAACATGCAGGGATAGCGGCAGGCAGACGGAGAGGGAGAAGCAGGCTCCCTGATGAGCAAGGAGCCCAATGTGGGGCTCGATCCCAGGACCTGGGATCATGACCTGGGCTGAGGGCAGACGCTTAACCGACTGAGCCACCCAGGCGTCCCCCATCCTCCCTTTTAAATACTAATTTATCTGTATGTAGAATTCATAGCCAACAACCTCAGCACTTATTTTATCGTCTCCTGGCCTGCATTGCTGCCATTGGAAGCCTGCTGTTAGTGTAATTTTTCCTTTGCAGGTGAGGTCTTTTCTCTTTGGTTGCTTTTAGATTTTTCTCGTCTTTTGCAATTCTACTACCTGTCTAGAAGTAGACTTGTTTTCATTCACCCTCCTAGATATTTGTTATGTTTTCTTTCCATTTCATGTCCTTAATATTGCGGAAAAATCCTCAAATGTCTTCCCTCCCCTCTTAAGTTGGATCTTCTATACTCCCTGTCTCTTAGCCCTCTTCTATTTCCCATTTCTTCCTCTGTTACAATGCAGGTATTTTCCTGACTTATCTTCCAGTTCACTAATTCCCTCCAGATATGCCCAATCTGTGGCTTAATCTGTCCATTGTGTTCTTAATTTCATGAATTATACTTTTTCCAAGAGACTTAGCTTTTTGTATCTGTTTTGCCTTTTTCATAGTGTCTTTTCTAATGGTTTTTATGCTTTCTTCCCTTGCTCCAATCATTATAACCATTTTTATTTCACAGTTTTTCTGTTTTAAGGTTTTTTTTAAAGATTTTATTTATTTGAGAGAGAGAGAGAGAGAAACAGTATGAGAGGGGAGAGGGTTAGAGGGAGAAGCAGACTCCCCACCAAGCCGGGACCCGATGTGGGACTCAATCCCAGGACTCCAGGATCATGACCTGAGCCGAAGGCAATCGCCCGACCAACTGAGCCACCCAGGCACCCTCAAACACCATTTTTAAAATACGTACACAGACACACAGACACACCCTCTATTCTTCCCTATCCCTCCAATTCCTAAAATTTTTGTTTGGAGAAGAGTTAAAGATGGATGGATGCTGGTCTTATTTGGAGTACTTCTAGGATCAAAATTCACAATCCTAGAGCTATTTCTTGGCTATGTTTAAAGGTGTTACACCCCCTGCTGGTCCTAGAGCACATCTGGGAGGTGGTGGTTTTAGTCTTGGCTCAAAAACACTCTAAATAGGGGCGCCTGGGTGGCTCAGTCGTTAAGCATCTGCCTTCGGCTCAGGTCATGATCCCAGAGTCCTGGGATCGAGCCCCGCATTGGGCTCCTTGCTCTGCGGGAAGCCTGCTTCTCCCTCTCCCACTCCCCCTGCTCGTGTTCCCTCTCTCACTGTGTCTCTCTCTGTCAAATAAATAAATAAAAATCTTAAAAAAAAAAAAAAAAACACTCAAAATTCTGCCACAGATGTAATCAACGAACACAACTGACACAGAGATCTCATTCATGTTAAAAAAAAAGGAACAAAAATCATTGAAAAATTCATTAAATACTGCATTAAAATATCTTTACAGAGGAAGAAAACAGCATATCTTTGCTTGACTTTAACTATTTTGAAAATCAAAAACATATTCTCTCTCCTGCCCTTACCCTTAATAAATCTCTACACATTTTGTTACTGCTTGCAGATAATGCAGCCTTGACTGAAATTTGCCTGTAATAGGCATAATTATTTGTTTTATTAAAAATTACTATATATGTTCATGAATGGAAATCTCAAGACGTTATTCTTGTCATACTATGATATAAACTAATAAAAAGGAAATTCCAGAAGTAGGATTCCTTTACCTGAATAATGTGTGCTTTTGTTTTAAATCATTTAATAGTATGAACATAGCAATCTCAATAAATAGTTTTAGTATTCACTAACTCTAAAATATGATATCTAATATTATACTCATAATAGTTTATTATTCTGAAACTAATATAAAACAGATGAAAGATTTGATACTATTCACTTTTGAGTTTAAAATTTAGGTATTATAAAGACACTTGCCACATTTTATTTGTCTTATTTTAGAATTAAAATATATCAACATAGTTAACAAAAATATTTATGCATCTCAAGTAGAGTATGCATTTTTGCTTGCTATAGTTCAAGAAAAACATAGCAAAGCTGGAAAAGGCCCTGAGAAGAATACCTGAGAAAGTCCTGTCAAGTAAAAGACAGGACTCTCATTTGAATGACTTAAAACATTTTTTAAAGACTGTTTTTGGAAAAGATGAAGATACAGAGGGAGTACTATTAAAATTATAGAAAAGTGATATGTATGGGGACTCACAGAAACCTGGAGTAAAAAAAAAAAAGAAACCTGGAGTAGTCACAAGACAAATAAAAGGAAGCATGGTATAAATATAAAGATGGAGGCCTTTCCTGAGCCACAAAAAAAATTCAGCTTTGTTATAACAGAGTACCTTAACAGTAGTTTATATATTTAAAGTCCTAAACCTACAGGATTTATCATTATTCCAAGATAAAGCATATCCTCTAAACCTGAGTATGTTCAGCAGGGGCTTAATTATTCATTATGAAAACAGCACCAAAAAGAAAACAGTATTAAAAAAAAAAAAAAGAAAAGAGTATAGGATTTTGAAAATCTTAACCTTCCAAGGATATAATCTTTCCCAAAATAGCCCCTGATGCTATGTCAAAGACTTACTAGGCTAGAAAGACCATTATATTCTTATGAAAGTTAATTATCATTTCAGGCTTTGAAAAACTATGGTCTCAGAAAACTTTGTTTTCACTAACTTCTTACCTTGAGAATATTGTATCTGTTGAAGATCCCACCTGCATGACCTCCATCTCTGTGTTCTCGGACTGTACTTTGCATCTGATGGAAAAATATGTCAAATATATGTGTATTAACTTTTGTTTTTTCTGATATGGAGAACATGGTTCTTGACTCCTATGATTCTATTTTTGAGAATACAAAATGAGATTTTAATATTTTTGTTGTTTAAGGAATGAGTTCTATAAGTTCACAAGTATTATTTTCTAGAGATAGCTATTAGCTAATTAGCTAGTCAATCTGAAAACTACAGGTGAAAATTATATAATGCAAACTAAAGAAAAAAACAGATGCACAGGTGAGTTAAACATACAAAGCTAACCACCTGACATGCTAAAAAACAAAACAATTATCTGTTTCCATTCATGTTGCCCTTATAACAAAGCACAATTTGTACTTCATTGAGAATTGGAGTTTCTTGAATTTTAGAACTCAGTCCTACTCAACTTTTTATCTGTGTTCCTCACACATATGTTCTTCAAAGTGTAAGGCACTATTCAGAGATTTCAGCAGATCCTAGAGTTTTGTGGAAAGAAAGCTGGAAGAAAAATTTCCTGGATAAGTAGCATCCACATACTCTGTGTTTTGTCTGAGATACTGGGCTTTGTAATTGCCTTCATGAAGGGAGGGAATATTGGCATTTTTTTTTTTTTCCCCCCAAATGACAGTAAACTCTTCTCCAACAGAATTCTGGGTTAGTATTAATTGTAGTACTGAACCAAATTACTGGAATTAAAGTTTATTGAGGGAGTGTACCTTAAATGCTGATTGTGAATGTTTTCCAGGTGGTAAAGAGTTAGGGACAATTAAAAAACCCTACATTTTTAAGATCTGGAAACCTCTAGGAAGTTTAGCTACTGAACCAAGATTCATTTAAGGTATATGAACATACCTCTTCCTCCACAGACTGAAACTCTTTATCATCAGGAGACAGATCTATGAGAACTGTTCCACTTCCAGAGGTGTTCAGAGTTAAGTATGGGTTAAGACCTAGCAAATGAAATTTGAAGGTAAAAAAATATTTGCCAAAAAAACGCCCCAGTTAACATCAACCAAAAACAGCCACTTCATTTATCTGATGCTTACTACCGATTTTTAAAAACTTTTAATTTTAGACGAATTTAGATTTTCAGGAAGGCTGAGATCATACAGAGAATTCCTGTGTACCTTTCAGTCAACTTCCTAATGTTACCATTAAGGACATTAATGCTCCCCCAATGTTACCATTTTATATAGCCACAGTGCATCTGTCACAGTAAATTATAGACTTTATTTGGATTTCACCAGTTTTTCCCACTAATGTCCTTTTTCTGTTCTAGGATCCAAATCAGAACACCACACTGCATTTGGACTACTAATTTTGACTCAACAAGCTGTAAGGGTTTTCTGGGAATAGTTCAGAAAATCTTTTTATTCTTTATCTCTTATTCTTAAGGAGCTTGTCACACATTTTTTCTTCAGATTACTTCCCTTCACTAACTATACAGCCCTTTCAGTATTTAGTCTTTAATTTTTGTAAATATGAGGATGAATTATGACAGAAACTTGTATAGCCTCAGATAATTCTGAATCATCTCAGAATGATAACTCCATAATGTTTACTAACTACTTAATGCTTATTCTAACCCATAACAGTTTTTAATTCAGCAATGAATGTTGTGTTTTCTGAACGTCAATAGTCAAGATAACTATGTATTTTGAACCTTTACTCTCACAAAAGTTTCTTATGTGGAATCTCAAAAAGAATTTTCTAATTTCTTTGGTATATTTGTAACACACCTCTCCTTCAGTCCTTACAACAAGATCTCTAAAGCTCTGCTGTTTTCTCAGGCAGGGATCAAATCCATTACTACTAGATCAGCGCATGGCAGTTTGCCCTGGAGAGTTAGAGCACTATTCTAGTTCTGAGTACTGGTCTGAATAACAAGACTACCAGCAACATGCTAAACTCTGATAAAGACTTATAGCTGAATTACAATAGCTACAAGAAGTGTGGGGACTTATAAAGGGGAATATTTCAGAGAATAAAGACTTAACAGAATAAAGACTACAACACATGCTTGACTAAAGCATCTGTGTACCATCCCAAGATCTTTTATCAGTGCTCAAAGATAAGGACAAGTAATCTATTGACTTGATGCACTGAATTATAGCTAGGGCTAAGCCAGCAAAATGACAGACTGTCAGAAGACTACCACTGGTTCCACTTTGCAAAATTGCGTATAACAAATGTATAGAATCCTGGCTTCAAACGAAGACAAGAAAGGTGGTAACTTTATGCAGGCAAGTGACCCTGATGTGCTAGAGCAGACACAGTCATTCTGTGTCATGACAGTTCTCCTTCATGTAGGAACAAACGTTCCTTTGCAACTGCAGCTGGATGTAACAGAATGACTACAGACCAGAGATGGCATGGAGTTACATACCTCTGCCACTTGGGGGCAGTATATCTTGTTTCTGCCATTGTTTCCTGAGCCTTTCAATGCAGTCTTAGTAACTGTATCCCAGACACTGTATGTTTAATGAACAAACACTGCCTAATTTCTTTTTAAACCTGCCTCTTTATCCTAAATGATCCGTTATTCCAGTACTCCACTGTAATTTCTATCCTAACCAGATCTACCTATCATTCTAGTAGAGTCATGATGGCCGTCCACAACTGAGGGTTCTGGTTTCTCTTCATTTTTGATGTTTTTTATATTGTATACTAACATTCCAGGGAGCCATGGGTGTTCCCTCCTTTTTCTTATACAATTTTGTCATTATAAGACATATTCCAGACTACCTCATATTTTAAACATTTTTGCCTTAGACCCTACCAGGCAAGTGAAGTATATCTACCTTTAATTGATCCTATTCCAGAATTCCAGTTCAAAGTATTCCTTAGCTTCAATCACCTAATTTTTAGAGGTATTTTTTCTTTTTCAAGAGATGGACCCTATCCTATCATACATCCTTCCCTGAAAATGTCTTCATTTTTGCTAGTCTAGGTTTTTTTTGAACTCCAGGTGTATAGCCAGGACCTCAATGACAGGAAGTGTCTGACCCCAAGCATGGTAAATCACGCCCTCAGTTTAACAATGTGGTCTTGATACTTAGAACAATTCACCTTTTCATACCCAGGACTTGGTACATAGGAAATGTTAACATCTGTTGAACAAATGCAATTTGCATTTTTTTAAAGTACCAACATTCAGAAGAAATAAAGAGATTATTCAATGCTGTTCTGCCAGATTTCCTCAGAACACTGTTTCCCAGTACTTCCACTACAAGTGTTTAGAATTTAGCCATTTACAACAAAAGAGAGATTTACAACATTTTATAGGCAGCCTGAATGCCTAGGTGTTGCCTATTATATTACCATAAGATAGGAGATATTCAAGTTTCTGATCTTTTAGAATCATAAAATTTTAGAGCTAGAGTAACTTAAGAGCGAAAAAAATTCCCAAACTTCTGAATGGCCCAGAAATTTTACTTAGGTTCACAAAATTACCAGCAGAAGCTCAGGAAACTTAACAGTAGCAGCGTTACAACTTGATTCCAGGTTTCCTGAATCCTAGTGTTCTTCCTATTAAATGGACTTGCTCTCACAGATTTATATATTATCATTTAGTAAGTTGAGGGTTGTCTTTATGCCAACTGTTAAACTGATGATAGCATTAATTTAAAATGAAATACCTTGTTGTCCAGAGATAAGTCTCTCAACTCCTTTAATTAGTTTGTGTCTATGTCCGTAAGCATTGATTCCAATCTCCTTCAGCTCCTTGTGCCCCATCTCAACTAATACATCCAAAGTGATCTGACAAAAGAGGATGAAACTGTTTAGAAGGCTTACATTTGCTAGACATTCATATACGGATGTTTTTATAATGTATCAGATTTATATATTTACTTTGGATTTTTGTGAACAGCTTAGAAATGAAAGCAAACCAGTTATTAAACTGAAGCTGAAAAGTTGCAGCTAATTAAATTACAGGTATGAACTACCAAAAATATAATTATTTTCATTCAGCATAAGAACCTGAGCTGACTTAAACTGCAAAATAAAAATGCACTTATCTACCATCACTCTACAACCAATCTATTTATACAATGCCTTCACTGCTTCCTCCAGACTCCGGACTACGCTAACTAGTACTTCTGCCTCAGGGTTCAAACTATTCCTTTTCCCTCAAATATATTATTCTCACTTTATGAAACTGAAGACATTCAGAAATCTTGAAGCTTTCCCTGAATAGTCCAGCACGCAGTAACCTTTTTTTCTTGGAATTTCTAAAATCCATGCCTCAAAGTTATTTCTTCATATATTGTTAGAGCTCCGTAAGTAGATCGAAAGTTTCTTAGGGGTACAAGTCTACGTTAACCATATTCTCTGAACCAAAAAAAATCAGTAAATATATTCTGACAGTGTACTTTAAACTGGGACTGTTCCAGAAAAGCCCAGATATATACCTAGTGTACCTATGTGCCTTCCCAGAGCGGCCAGCGAAGTGTCAGAGCAGGTAGTGACTGACACAACTGAACTGAACAAACAAGAGCTCAAAGATAACCTACTTTAAGGGCTAAATAAGCTAAGCTTTCCACTGGAGAAAGCTATTTTACTATTACTACTTGTTCCATGCATTTTTAAATTTCTTCTTTGATTTCCTGTTGACCCATTCATTGTTTAATAGCAAAGCTGTATAACCTCCATGTATTTATGGTCTTTCCAAACTTTTTCCTGTGGTTGACTTCAAGTTTCACAGCATTGTGGTCAGAAAATATGCATGTTATGATCTCCATCTTTTTGTATTTGTTCAGGCCTGATTTGTGACTTAATAATGTGATCTATTCTGGAGAATGTCTCATGTGCACTTGAAAGAAATATGTACTTTCATTTGTTTCCATGTATTTTTTTTTAATTTCATGAGAGTCCACCTTTATGTGCTAATAAACTAAATAGAAATTCCAAGATAGCCAAATTAGAAGAGTGACTGATTTTCAGTCTTAAAAAACCATTCTCCTCTCCCCGCAAACAGGCTGAATGGTCCAGGGCATTTCAAGTATGTCCTAATTTTTCCTTGAGGTCCCATACAAAACCAAACCAAGCAAAATAATTCATCTACTCACCTGTTCTCTCTCAAATATATCCATCAGGTGCTCAAGTCCAAGATTCCTTACAAATTGAGTTATGCTAAAATCTACTGCTGGAACTGGAAAATAAAAAATCCAGAACGAACAGAGTAACGTATATCAACATTATAACATCAAAGTTTTGTGGTATTACTATACACATGAAGAATGTAAAGATGAAGCAAACTACTAATTGGCATTTGGGATGTAATACTGAATATCTGAACATAGCATCAAAAATTGCAAAAAGAAAAAGCTACAAAATTTCAACATCATTAGAAGAAACAGCCTATGGGGCACTCTCAGGTTAAAAAAAAAATCTTTTCATTAAAAAAATTTTTACTTTTAACTGTATCTTTAAAATAAGTGTCCATACTGAAACTAATAAGTCAATTTTATTACTGCTTAAAAAAAAAATTCCTTATCTTTGAGAATGTAAGCTACTTCACAAAAGAGTTTATACAAATAAGTTCCACAATGCTGCATAAGGTGAGATAAATTTTGACAGGTAAAAAGTAAAGAGAACAGTTTTATAGACTGTAAGTATGTGTGTCTTTTTCCTTCTCTTAAAACGATCTTCACAATTGGGTATTTTGACATGGAATAAAGGTATTTCATAACTGTAATAATGCACTGGAAGAGGTAAATAAAGGCAGACCTACTCAACCACAAGACTTCTAAACCTTTCAAAAAGCATATTTACATCTAAGTAGTAGGTGAGCGGCATAAGACTCATGAAGTCTCAACGCAGAAGGAGAAAGTTTCATTAGGAATTCTACTAACATGAAGAAAACAATAAAAGACTAAAACTTGAAGGCTATGCTAATTAATCTGATACTAACAGTTGTATTTAAGGTTAAAAAATGACTTGTTAGCATTCTAAATGACAAATATGTGGCTACAAGACAGAAAGTTATTTTTGCAGAATGTCTCACCCTCCTTTTTCTCCAAACTAGAGGAACCCTCTGTTCCACTTGAACTAACTACCGAAGACAGTTCAGAAAAACTCCCAGATAAGTTGTCAAGACTGCTGGCTGCAGAAAGACTTGATGGGCTGGATGGACCTGAAGACAGAGCATCTCCGGTAGCTCCTGGGCTTCTCACGCCATTGAGCACTTGAGGTTTATAACACGAAGGCAGAGCAGAAGGGGGCATGGCTGCCGTGAGGAGAGCGCTAACGTCATCTGCCTAGTGTGTGTGTAAGAGAGAGATTAAATCTGTGATAAGCAAGTTTTAAAATTCTCCTACACCCAAGAGAATGCATTTAAAAATATGACAAAGACTCAGCAGATTTGCACTAGAATTGCATATTATATAAAAACAATTATTTTAAAAAGTAGAACAAGTGATATCATCAAACTGTTATTAAATATAAAACAATTCAGAACATGTTTTAAGACACAGAAAATAAAAAACACCTGTTAAATGTGGCAAAGCATAAAAAAAAATCTAACTTTGATACTATGATTTTCTGAAAAACACTGAAATGAGTTATAGTAGTATCAATTTTATTTTATTTATTTTAAAGATTTTATTTATTTGAGAGAGAGAGTGAGATAGCACAAGTTGGGGGAGGGGCAGAGGGAGAAGCCGACTTCCTGCTGAGCAGGGAGCCTGATGCGGGGCTCGATCCCAGGACCCAAGGATCACGACCTGAGCCAAAGGCAGACATTTAACGACTGAGCCACCCAGGCGCCCCTAAATATTTTATTTTTAAGTAATCTCTATACCCCACGTGGAGCCCAAACTCACAAGCCCAAGATCAAGAGTAGCATGCTCTTCTGAGCCAGCCAGGTGCCCCTTAACCAGACATATTTAACCCCCATTTATAGATGATGTGACAGACGCTTCGAGATTAGGCAAGGTGAAAGACTGTACAACTCCAAGTGGTAGAGCTGGAATTCTACGGCAGGTCTGTTGGACTCTAAAGCCCATACCTGTCCTCTAGAGCACTTTGTTTTCACATCACTTATGTCTGGTCGACTAACAAATGGGTGGAATGAATTAGAAAAGTGCACTTCCCAGGTAGTTTGGAACAAGAAAGACATTTCCCTGAAGAAATATTGCAGATACGGTTGGGTTGTCAGCCTGCTGAGAAAAATCTATTTAACCCCCAATGCAGCTGAACTCAATCAGCTTCTCAGTGTAACTTTTAACAGTGGACTCTCTCTCAGTAGAAAGCAATCTGCAGAAAAGACTTCCCTTCCATCCCATCGCAACAAGAATTTCTCCCTTTCCCTCCACCACGCTGGTCAATTTCCCCAGTGGTCGAGGCCAGAGAGGCGCCAGTGTCCCAGCAGCCAAAGCAGAGGTAAAGGCTACAATGGAGATGCCTACACGAGTTCCCTTGGAGAAGAAGGAAAAAAACCCAAAAACTTCATAGAAAACTGGAGGAACAAGCTTGTTTCATGAACACTACTGGTGAGGTAAGCAACAGGAACTCTGGGAAGAGGCGGTGGGGAGGGAAGGGAATCCCTACTAGAAGCAGGCTCTGTGGCTGTACCTTGAGGGCAATGTCCCTGGCTAGGCAAGTTCATCAAGACCCGTATGTCCTGTATGACTCTGCACAGTATGCACTGTTAACAGCCTTCACTGAGGGCCTGCGCCTGTTTTGTTTCCCAACTATAATGTAAGCAGCTATATACCATGTACTTCTTTTTCCTATTTCCAAAAGCATTCAGGATACAATAACTGACTGATAATCCTATTATTTACATATTATATTTTAATACCAAAGAAGTCCTATGTTTAAACTGGGCTAAAAAATAGATTTTGCCACATTCACCACAAAGACATTTTATATACACCAAGTGAACTTTAAAAAGTCAGAAAAGCACTGAGATTTTTCAAAGAGTCCATCACTTACTGAAACTAAATCTAAAGGTGTTTGTCCTTCCTGATTTTTAAGAGTAGGGTCCGCTCCATGGGCCAACAATAAAGCACAAAGCTGTGTTCGTCCCTTTTGGGCTGCTTCATGCAAAGGTGTGAAAGCCCATTTGTCCGTGGCATTGACACATGCATTATACTTTATTAGTAAAGCTGCAACATCTACATGCTGTAAAAGAAAATACTCCTGTTACACTCTGAAATATTATCACATTTTAGTTCCTAAAAAGAAACTAGCTATATACCTATTTTTCCATATTTTCAAACCTACTCTGGAAATGAAAAATTGTGTTTCTCCCCAACATCATAATTTATGGGTAGTTGATTAAAAATTACAGATGTTTTAATAACTTGAGAAATTAGAAAATATTTAAGAATTCTACACAGGATGGGAACTAAATAAATGAATACAACTTAAACAATTTCTCATTTATTCAAGTGTTATAACTGCTGAACATCAATTTATAAACCAGCAACCTTTCTCACTTATTCCAACTATACTATTGAAGATGGTCAATACTGATTATAACATTTAGGGCTATTATAAACTCAGGAACAATGCATCTGAATCTCTACAGATTCCTAGGAGTCCTAGTGGGTTTCCTGGCACCAACAAATAAACAAAACCATCAACATCCCACTGAAAATAAGAGGTGCTAAGAAAGGTAATACAATGAATGACAGATGTCCTGCATGTCACACAGCTCACTTACAACAGATTCAGAATTGAGACTTGGACATTATTTAATCTCTTTAGTCCTCATATTTACTCCTCTATAAAATGAGAAAGTCAAACTAAATGCCCTTTGAACTGCAATACTGATTTTCACTTAGAAAATTTCAGAGATTTTTAAAGGTAATATGAAAGAACTTACCCCATAAGATGCCGCATTATGTAAAGGAATAAGTCCTCCTTTGTCCTGGGCATTCACATCAGCTCCATGTTGCAACAAATACTCTGCAACTTCTAAATTATTATAACCAGCTAATTTAGAAAAGAAGTAAAATTACTTTCACTTGTTAATATAAAAATTAATTACATCTATGTATCTGTATATATCTGTATAAAAAGCACAAACATTCTTTAAAAAATAGATTTTATAGAAATCTGATATTCCCCATTGGGGTCTATTAAAAATTTATCTTATGGAAAAAACTGCCCACTGGTCTCAAGTTGGAAGCTTTCAGTGATGACACTCATTCATTTCAGAGACTCTCAAAAGTTATATGATGGATTTGCTTATATCTTTCCTTTTAAAATCTTCTACCAAAGTCTTTGCCTTTATGGTTGTTATATGCAACTTCCTAAATTCAGGTACATGGTCTCAAGGGCTACAAGTAAGAGGCATTCAAGCATATAAAAGCCAAGTTAGGAACACAAGAGGCCAGCAGAGTAGGAGATAGCACACCAGCATGGGGCTCAGGACCCTATTTTCCCAGAAGGACATAGAGACATTTTGTAGAGAGAGATCTTTGGGATATACATCTCTGCAAGTCTGGCAGCAAAATCTAGTGTTGCTAAAGCCATGAAATAAAACTTAGCATTTTATAAATATACCATAACCTCTTAGCTGTCATCCTGGGAATTGTCAGCTAGCTTAGTATCACAGATCGAGAGCAAATCTGGAACTTAACTTCACCAAAATAAAACCAGCTATCACCTGAAACTTTAGAACAGTTCAAAATATTTTTCACATTTACTTTCTTGTAGTTTTTATTCTTTTGCTGAAGGATTTAAAGCCAAAAAATTTAATAAGATCAAGGAGGGAAAAACAAAACCACAGAACTACCATAAGCTAAGTATTACAATGAATCCAAAGTCTTTCCAAGTCTCAAGGTATAATACTGCACAAGTGGGCAGAAATGTTTTGTATATACAACCTATTTACCACTCACAGAGACAGCATGGATTTATTTTTATTTTTTTCAAAAGATTTTTATTTATTTGAAAGAGAGAGAAAGAGAGCGAGGAGAGAGAGCGAGCAGAGGGGAAGAGCAGAGGAGAGGGAGAAGCAGGCTCCACAGGCTCAGCAGGCTGAGCAGGGAGTCTGACATGGTGCTCAATCCCAGGACCCTGGGATCATGACCTGGGCTGAAGACAGATGCTTAACCAACAGAGCCACCCAGGTGCCCAACAACATGGGTTTAAATAGTAATTATTAAATGTTCTAGATAAGCTACCATAAAGATATAGAAAAGCTAATCTAAATAAATATACACAGCATAATTCAGATATACACAGGTCACATCCTGTCTTGCATGGACGAGAAACTTCTGATTGCAAGTGGAAGTATAAAAGCCTTTTCTCACCATGTTAGCATTTGTGCTTATCACTTCCAAAATTCTCTAAAAGACATATAGATAGAATAATTCTTTTCCTTGGACAGTGGGGTCCTAACTTACAGAGGGTGAAAATTTAAAGGTAAAAATCACATATAACCAAAATTATCTTTTAAATACTAGGAACACACTCAGTTATTCACACTATGAGACTAAAATAAACAGAGGAAAAAAAAAGAGAAGGGTAGACTTCCATCTCCCATATTACACAAAGTGGCAGAATCATCTGCATTACTTTTTTCTCTATTTACTTTTTTCTTTTTAAACTATATGTATTTAGATAAACTTGTCTGAGTCAAATTATGCCTACAATGTAACACCACTTAAGTATTAGCTGTAAGCTCAGTGATTTTAATGGCCCATTCCTTAGCATTTTCAATGCAGCTAAAGCTCAACCGAAATATTGTGCACCTGCACTAGAAACAAAGGTGGACTGTGTCAATTTCATGAGTGAAACTTACAAAAATGTTATGCACTCAACTGTCTCCCAAATTCTTGTATTGGCTCTAACCATCAGTACCTTAGCATGTGACTGTATTAGAAGGTAAGGTCTTTAAAGAGGTAATAAAAGTTAAAATGAGGCTGTTAGGGAAGGCCCTAATCCCATCTGACTGGTGTCCTTATAAAAGATCAGGACATGTAGTGAGAGACACCAGGCAAGTGCACACAACAGACAAAAGGCCAACTGACGACACAGTGAGAAGGTGGCCATCTGCAGGCGGAGGAGAGAGGCATCAGGAGAAACCAATGCTGCCAATGCCTTATCTCCACAACTGTGAGAAAAGAAACTTCTGTTAAGCCACCCAATCTGTGGTACCTTGTTATGGCAGGCCTCATGAATTAATGTTAGGTTTATGTAACTTCTGAAAGCCTTAAGATTTTTTTTCTGCTTGTGCTTAACAGCTGTCCTCAAAAGAATGGAAAGCTTTAGCTTCCCATGAGAAAGGCTGTTCAAGCAGGCTGATTTTTCAAGTTTTTATAGCCAAAACTCACTCACCAAAGAGGACTTAAAACTATGGTGACTGGAATAGAGATTCCAAAGCACTATACTGACCGGCAGAGTCTCCTTCCATTGCTCTTACTGCAGGTAACCACACCAGTACTAAAGTGAACGCGAAACACACTTGGCCTGCACAAACTCACTCAGGTTTATGGTGGCATTAGGAGATATTTGAGCTGCATCTTTTCAGTTTACTTTCAGGAAATATTTTACTCTGGTAAAATGAACCTTACATGTCACCAGCTTAAATCTGTGAAACTTCATTCACTTACCCGCTAAATGTAATGGGGTTGAATGTCGGCCTTGGGTATCACGGCAATTTACATTATCAGGAGAAGACAACTTCTTTACTCTGGCTAAACAACCCTTCTTGGCAGCATCTAACAAAGCTGCATCTCCCCGAAGTAGATCTTGGATATCTGTATCTCCATCTTTAACAAGATCCAAAGGGGTATTTCCATCCCTGTTTTTCTTTGTAGGGTCTGCACCATGCTGGGCATGTGAAAAACAGATAAGGAGGAACTGACTTAAGTTTGCCCTTAGTCTATCTATGAGAAAATAGTCAGTGGAACTATAGCAAAAAAAACTATTTTATACTGACAGACTCTACCTTAAAGGTTAACGTTTCTTATATTTAATTTAGTACACAGAAAATTATAATAAAAAGAATACAGAGACAGTTAAATATTATTGGGCTTTTATAATTCAACTTATTATTATTGTTTCTTCAAGTAGGCTCCATTCCCAGTGTGGGGCTTGAACTCAGTCATGACCGTGAGATCAAGAGTCGCATGCTCTACTGACTGAGCTAGACAGGAGCCCCTATAACGTAATTTAGTAAAAATTTTAAACTACATTCAAAATAAGGCAGAATTTCATTAATAACTTATTTTCATGTATGTTATTTTTAGTTTCCACAAACCCTGAAATAAAGTATATATATTTTTAATTTAATGTATTTATTAAGTAAGCGCTACGCACAAAACGCTGCTTGAACTCACAACCCCAAGATCAAGAGTTACATGAGCTACTTACCAAGCCAGCCAAGTGCCCTAACTTTTGCTTTTACTGTAAAATATCTACATGGGTACCTGTATTAAACCAGTACTATCAATTTTATTAGTGCCAAATAAATCTGGCTTATAAATTACATAATCCATCAAATATTTTGAGGTTAAAGTACTATATAGGAAAAATTAGGATAACAATCAGAGAACTGTTACTTGATGATAGCTGACTTTATACAATAATAAACCTGTGTGTGGTAAACATCCTCGTAGGTTAAAATACAGTGTTCATGACATTTATTCTGAAATCTAGGTAGAGAATTAAATAGCTTTGCTTCATACCCCTTTACCAGTTTAAGTTTATATTGAAAGTTATTAGAAATATAAACATCTATGTAATAAACCAGGTCCACAGTAAGTACTTAAATATACCTGGAGCAGGAGTTTGCAAATTTCGTATTTTCCTTTTGCTGCAGCTTCATGTAAAGGTGTAAATTTCCATAAATCAGCTACATTAACTACTGCTCCATGCTTAACAAGAAGTTCTGCAACTTCATAATGTCCATATGAACATGCATTGTGCAAAGGTACAAGGCCTCTGAAATGAAAGACTACATAAGCGATGCAACACAAAGATATGTTTAATTTAGATAACTGCATATAGTTGATAAATTTCTTGAACTGCATAAGGGATCACACTGCTTATATTTTATAGAACCTAAATTTATTGAAAGCAGAAATGGAATTATTTTTGGAGGGTGTGGGAAGGAAATTTTAAAAATATATATTTTTTTCTTTTTGGTGGGAGCAATAGTAAAGTGTTAGTACAAAGCTCCGGAAGAGGGAGGGGATGTGAGAGGGTTGCCCTAAAAATATTTTAAATTGTAGAGAACGTAACAGACACCTATAGACTCGATCTAGAATTGAGGTGTGTATGTGTATTTTAAAGATTTTATTTATTTATTTATTTATTTAGAGAGCGCACACATGGGGGGCAGGGAGGGAGAGAGAAAATCTCAAGCAGACTCCAAGTGGGGCTTGATTCCCTGACCCCAAGATCATGACCTGAGCTGAAACCAAGAGTCAGATCCTTAACCGACTAAGCCACCCAGGCATCCCAAGAATTGTATATTTAAAAAAAAATAATAATTTTAAGACAAACTGGAAGAATTCAAGTATCCTCAATGCAAACTAAAAAATTTACTATATTAAAAATCAATCACATTAATCTCCTTAGTCATTATAAGATTATAAGGCATTATGCAAATAAGTCTTTACATATATATATGCTAATCATCATAAAATCTTAACTGAAATTAAGAAGCTACATTTAAGCCAGTATTAGGTAACAGACTTCCCTGAAAACAAAAGAGCTACCAATTATCATAAAATTATTAAAAAAATGTTTTTCCAGATTTTCCTAAAAAGGTCAGATAAAGGAAAAGAGGCCATGGCAATTGTTGGTACTTGCCCTTTATCTTTAGCATGCACGTCAGCTCCGTGTTGCAGCAGATACTCCACCACAGACACCCTATTATAGCCAGCTGCAAAATGGAGTGGCGTTGATTGACGCCCTTCAATGTCTCTGCAGTTGACACTCTGAACAGTACACAGTTTCTGCAGGATGAAACACAGTATACACATAACACTACATATTTTGATTTAATTTCTTATCTCATTAAATCAGTATTCTCAGAAACTACTTATTTCACCTTGTCATTTATTGGGAATCCCTGTGGTCCTCTTATCTACGCCTGTATCATCTTTTGCTAAAGCTGGTGGGTAAATTTTATCATTACCACTACTACAAATAGTAACATAAATGTAATCTAAAGTACCAATTATCAGCAATCCTAACTTCCATTTTGTGACAAATATAAGTAGAGGTACGCTGGATCCTGGGGTTTGTTAAGAATGCAGAATCTCTGCCCTCATCTACTGAGTCAGAATCTGCATTTTAACAAGATCCCTAGATGATCTGTAAGCACATTAAAGTTTAAAAAGTTCTGCTCTACACCAGCAGTTCTTAAATTTTCATGTGCACTGGGTCCTGCCTCCAGATTTTCTAATTTAGTGTGTCTGGGGTGGGGCCTAAGAACTTGCATTTCTTTTTCTTCTTTTTTTTTTGAGAATTTAACAAGTTCCTAGGTGATGCTTATAGTCAAGAACTACACTTACGATCCTTGGGAAAATTAAGAAAATACTCAAGTACTTTTTTGTGTTCTTTGGTTTCGATGAGGAAGCCTGGCTGAGAAAAGCTTTAAGAATAACACTTTTATTCATGCTTGTATGAAAAGTACAAATGTTTGGGGAAGAAAAGCAACATAAATAATAAATCGTGGTGCTCAAAAAAAGTTTAAAGACTATCAGTATTAGTAAAAAGTCTTACTTTTTACTATTCTACCCTATCCCTTAGGGATAACCTAAGCCTAATAACTCAATGGAGGTAGCTATCTGTGGGTTTCACCTCAAGGGGTTTAATTACCAGACTGATAAAGCTTTTTTATGCTTCCCAAAGAAGAGGCTAAGATATAGATTCAGGGTCCCATTTGAAACAGTATTTCATGGCTTTGAAGTTGGGCTCTAGGAATGAGTATTTTTAATACATGTGCCAAGTGCTGCTACGTTGGGTAGTTTTTACCAGCCACTTTACTCCCTACTTCTCAGTTTAGTTTTGTGTACTCTGAAACAAGTTTTCTTTTCTTTTTTTTTCTTTAAAAAGATTTTATTTATTTATCTGACAGAGAGAGAGACAGCGAGAGAGGGAACACAAGCAGGGGGAGTGGGAGAGGGAGAAGCAGGCTTCCCGCCGA